GCAGTTACATTGCCATCCTGTGTTTTAGGCATGGCTGTTCTCATGAAACCTGTTGTTCTTCTGTATCACGTAGTAAGAGATACTGAAATTCAGTTCACTGTTGAGCGGAAACAAAGGTCTTTTTATAAATGGTACACTCAGATCCTGAAAATTGGGGCTTTACGATACCAATGTGTTATGTAACATTTTGCAATGAAATATGAAGAAAAATATTCTGTAGAAATAAAATATAACATAAAGATAAGCTGGTAAGCTGTCTTTAATCTAGAGATTTGTGCTTGAGACGCTGTCAAGTTGTCATGTTGAGTGTTTTAAATGTGGTACTGGGGAATGGGATAGATCAAGATGGACTTATGTTCAACATTAAATCTAAGCATAGAGAAGTGGCATTTTTTTCACGTGGTAAATTACTTTTTTCCTCTAGTTTTCATTTTTCTTTTTTTTTTTTTAATAGCTCCCTTACCCGTTCTGCCCAAAAGCAGTGCAGCTTAGTTACTGTATTAAAAGACCTGTTAGGTTAATAGCGCACAATACTTTTTCATCCTTTGAACTATTCAATAATTGTGGCACCTCCATCTTGTTTTGGATAAGGAGAAATCTTTGATGCTTTTTCAATGCCTGAAGCAAACAATGTGTTTGCTATCCATGATAGCGTAATATTGAGGCAAACACAAATACAAAATTTTGAACTGTTAAGGTTTATGAGACAGCATGTTGTTAGTATTCCAGAAAGCGTACAAGAGTATTTCTAGGAAGACGAATGATGCAGTCATCAAATGTTTTTTCCTAGTTAAGAAGTCTTGGCCATCTCATTGCTGTAAAATACTCCATCTTAGCAACAGTTGCTATGTGGGACTACCTTTTTAGGCCGTGTTGGTACCATTTTAAGACGTTAAGAGCTCTGCAGTGTTCTGCTGATTCACCTCCTACGCGTGTGAGACTTGAGTGGGTAGCTTAGGACTTCCATTTTACATAGAAAAATGATTGTGAAGGTTTTATTGAAAGGGTGTCCAAAGACTTAGAAACCACCATTAGCATAGCCAAAGAGGAAATGAGGCTTTTATTTTGTGCATTTCTAGTGTGGATGATCTGTTCTTGTTAAGCAGGGAAAAAGATAACAGTTCTGAGTATAAGTCATAAAAATAAAAAATAAGCTATATAGAACTGCTTATGGCACTGCTGGTGCTGCATCAGGTTAAGCATAAAGCAAATGGGAACCTTCTAGTGTGGGGAACCTAGTGTGTTTGGCTGTCTTTGCTTATTCCGGTTCACAGAGGGCCACAGCATTGCAAAGTAGGCTGGTCTAACGAAATAGCCAGTGTTAGTCTCTGCAGCATCCTGCAAATTCTCTGTCACTGCAGCTCTAAGAAAATTGCCAAATGGTGGATTATTTCTTTTATTTTCCTGTATAACTGGCCTGTCCTGCTTACTTGTTCATTTAGTGCTTTTTTTGTATTTGATTGGTCTTAGTTTGTTTTTTCCTCCTAGTGCTGCCTGGAAGTTAGAGAGGGGGCTACGTATGTTCAGTGCTCACCTGTTGGGATCTTCCAGTTGATACCCAGCTAATGTGCATGCATCTTGGTGAGCTTTGCCATGAGAGCCTTGGATTGAATCGAGGAGCCGCAGCCATTGCCTTGCATGTCTTAGTCGTACATAGCAACTGTTGCTGCCTTTCTAGGCTGCACTGATGCTGCTAGAAGAAATACAAAACTTCTTCCGACTCCTACAATGGATGTTTTCCTGCTTAAAGAGCTTATGTTCATGGATTCCCCCGTCCCTTTTTTCCTTCTCTCCTCACCTCTCACACAGTAGTACTGAGAATTATAAAATAAAACAACCTTTGGCTGTTGCTCTCAGTGGTTTTGTGCTCTGCTGATGCTGAGCGTTCCTCTTTCTGTACAAGTTAATGTTTCACAGGCACTTAACCACATGATACAAGCATTGACTTACAAGAGTTTCTTAAGGAGAAACATGCATAAATGTTATGCTGACTGTTGTTTACTGGTGTTTTCCAGTGTTATTGCGCACACAAGTAGAAGAAAAATGAAAACGTGTGTAGTTTCAGAAATGGAAAAAAGTGATGCCTCACTGAGGTTTGCTAGGTATCACGTTGCATTGCAGGTGTAAGGCCTGTGTCCAATTCAGTTCTTGCTATCTCACAAATCATGAAGCTGGCAATGAATGCTCTTCATAGATGTGTGACTCTTGTGATCTCCTTTTCTAAAGGAGGGCTGCAATCTGCTTTGGGCTCTGACAACACTTCATGTTAAAATGGCATCATCTGTAACGCCAACTTATGGTCAATGTCGGCTGCCACATAACAAGTAAGCATAAAAAAGAAAAACTGACTTCTTTTGTCCCAAAGATCTTTGTATCATAAGCGTGTGATGAGACAGGGAGAGAAGAGATAAGAACAGGGAGGTGATGGGGATGTATGTGGAGCAGTTCTTTTTAATCCGTGGTCACTGTGCACAGATGGACCAGTCTCTTTTGAGGCTTTTTTGTGCATCCTGCTAGAGGGGACTTGTGAAGAGGGCTTTGCGTGTATATAATTCAGCTTTGGATTTTGGTAGGGGTTGCTCATAAATAAGGAATAGGATATGAGAAATGTGTAGAGGTTGGAAGAGCTGGAGAGTGGTGGTTCATGATGTTGGTGCGTGGGAGTCCAGGTCTACACTAGAAACTTGGCAGGAACTTGGACACTTGATATTGTTTCTTCATTAGCAGTAATACTAGATTGAAGCACTTTTATGAGTGTGAAATTTGAATATCTGGCCTGGAAAAGTACTATGAAGAGTGTTTTTTTTTTCTTTTTTGCTGTAGAGAGATCTCAACAGAGAAAAAGGGGTTTGCACGTAACTTTGTGTTGTCTAAATTTAAACCTGGCTGATGCAAAGGTCCATCTGTTTAAGAATTGTGTGCTGAAGAGCTAAGATCTTGTCTTCAAGTGGTGTTGGTTTATAATACAGCTCTCTGTGGTTCTAGAAGTAGTGCCTGCAATGAAAAATATGTTATCTTGCAATCAAGCAGGCATGGCTTAAAAAGAAGTTACTGTCTTCCTGATGGTAGTCGATGTCTTGAGCTGAGTTAGTCAATGTGTGGACACTTACAATTTAGGTTGCTCCAAACCCAGTTGCATTATCTTAAAAATAATAAATTAATTATCTTCAGAGATGATTACATCAAGTCAGTGGATTACGGCAATCCAGCTGTAAGAACAGTGACAGTGCAGGATATTTGTGCCCTTAAAATCAGAATGCATTAGGATAATCACTGCAGCATGGTTTTGAATGACCATAAGGAGAGCAAGGTGGCATTTTTTTCGGAGACCACAAGATTGCATAATTTAATGTTCAAGAGGAAGATAGTAAATGCTTGGATATCTGTCTGACTTTCCCCTGTGAGTGCAATAGGAATTGAAATTGAAGGAGGTTGCAACATATAGATGTTTGAGCAGAGAAATGTAAAACAACTGTTCGTTTCAGTGGTGTTAGCCCCTGTAAATTAGTTTACGTGTAGAAGATTAGCTAAAAGATGAAAGTATCTGTAGGGAGTAAAGGGGGGAACCTGAGCAAGGGGAATTGCTTTTACCTACTCTTTCAAAACAAAAGAGTTTCCACGCTTGACTTGCATTGCATCGTACTGAGCAATCTTATTTTCATAGCTATTTATGATTGAAAATTCTAGTTTAAAAACTCTTAATTTAGTGACATTGCAAAAACTGAATTTTCTTTTTAATGTTTTTACCTCCTTTTAAACTTCTTATACCTGTATTTTAATTATATGAAGTAAGAAGTGAATAGATTTGTTGTTTAATGTGGAGAATATTCACTAAAGGATACTGGCTTGAGTTTAAAGAGCTGAAGACAGACTTGGTTTTGAAGGTTCATTAAAAACAAACAAATGCAAAAAAGCAGTTGATCCTTAACATCGTGCTTCATCAAAGAGTTAGTGAAAATAGAGTCAGGAGAATGACGGGGGATATATGGCATCTTAGTGTTCACAGTTCAGACTGTAAGGACTGGATTGCTCAACCTCCCGTATTTTGCAGACCATTAAACTGCAGCCAGTTTCCCCAGGTGTTGAGCATAACTTCTATTTGCCCACTTGTTTGGCTCTTACAAAAGCCATTAAAATATGTGAAAAGACACTAAATCCAGGTGTGTGTTCTCTGTTGGGCTGTAGCAGCAGGATGGGAGAGTGTTTAGTATTTCTGAAGTTATGTGCATCCAGTTTACAAATGACAGGACATCTGGGTGTCTGAACAGAGCAGATGAGCTTTGCATTTCTTTTGCAGATAAATGGATTTTTTAATATTTCTAAACAGCAAAGTTGTGATTTGCAAACTAAGCTATGCCAGAGTATTTGTGATTTGATAGACTAAAGTGGGTGTACCTGGTGAGAGAAGTGTATGGAGCACCAGTTTTGTCTTGGAAGGCATGTGCATGCTTAGGTACGCAGGTAACCTGCTTCAATGACTTCCTGTATTTTTAATGCCCCAGTTGAGATCATTGATGGTATACGACACCTGACTTCCCTCTTCTGTTTCGGGTTTTGGTACTGTCCTGCCTTGTGCTGTCCTGAGGTTTACCCCAATTTTCAAAGGGCCTTTGCAGGCTCAGTGTGGGTAGATGATCTTGTGGCCCCCCAGGCAAACCAAGATCTGGCGGATGTTGTTCTCTTCACTTTCATTACGCCTCAGTTTCATGCATTTTTGGGGAGCTCTTATCTCTGGGATGACCTTCGTCGGGAAGGTTTTCCAGTGATTTATCTCATGCACAGCTTTCCTCTGACCATCCTTACCTCAATAGTGAGAAGAGGGGAAGTTATATAGTACATTGCGGGTTTTTTTTTTAATTATTGAAGCATGTTGGTATTTACTGGTTTTCCTCATGTTAAAATGGAAAGTAGAAAAAAATATTTTTGCATCTTCTAAAAACAACATCCCCCCTAAAAATCACATGTAGGTTGTTGCTTCAGAAACCTTTCATGTCAGTAAGAATTATTTAATGTATTCACCTTCTTTACAGATGATGACTTTGATCAGTTTGATAAGCCTGGTGCAGAAAGGTCTTGGAGAAGAAGAGCTGGAGATGATGACTGGGACAGGTAAGTAGAGTTCAGTTCGTGTTCAGTTTCTGTATGCTGAATACCATTGCTCTGTTTTCCCATCCTGGCATTTTGTATTGTGACGCTGAGAGTAGCGCACATGTAGGTACTGATGAAGAAGTTGGTTGTTATGTGTGTGTCAGCCGATGCTAGACTGTGCCAAACATGTACTTGCTTTGAGGAATAGAAAGCACTATGAAGAGATACCATTTAAAATTGGATAAATGCAAACTGTTTGTGGTGTGTAATTAACTTTGCAATTAATGTCCTGGTTTTCCCTTTAAATATTTAGTACATCTCAATGGTTTAAATAGATTTTTGCTAGTGCTTGAATTCACCCAACCTAACTTTTTTTTTACCTAGATGTTTAAATGTCAAAGTGCTGCTTTGGTTTTATGTTGGGGGAAAGTAATGGAGTTTAGATACAGGCTTCTATTGAAAAATATGACTGTTGTGAATATTTAGAAGTATGTATGAACTTGGTTATTTTTGGGGAGAATAAAAGCATGTTCTTTTATGTGAAGGCACTCTAGCTGGGAAATACTTGAATCAAGCTGCTGGGTAGACTTGTCTATTCTTTCTGGGAGAAAAGTTTTCACTTTTTTGTGGGCTTGCTTTTTATTTTTCCTTTTTAGTAACAGGGAGACTTGTTCAGACTTTGCCAGTGGTTTTCACTGTAAAAAGGAGAAAAAACCCATTCCAAATAGTTTTTTGTCTTTTCTAATAATCATTCAAGTGATTATAGTAAACAAATTTTACCCTAAGTAGTTTTCCACTGAGCTGAGCTCTTAGAGTGAATCAGCTACTCTACATTTGTTGTCATTCCAGAGGGATTAGTTTCCTCTTCTGTGCTTTTCTGCCAGGTCAAGTGAGTAGTTTTCATTGCTCTAGGAAGTGAGTAAGAGTGAGTAAGGAATTTGGAGAATTGCTTCAGTGTGGAGGGTGTTTTGCTGTACGCTGGTGAGGGATGACCTCTCTGTCATGCCAGCACAGCTGTTTGTGGGTTGGATGATGAACTGCATCATGGAGCTGATCTGGTTCGAGAGTGTAAATAAAATAAGTTGTTCAGGCTGGGTCACTGTACGGGGCTGTCCCCAGCCCCAGAGCTGGAGGCAACACAGAACAGCCCGGAAATACTGGAGCCAATGTTGCAGGCAAACTGCTTCGTATTAGAATATTTTTCTGAACTTTTTGCCTTTGCTGATTTCATGATATGAATAGGTGGGCTCTTAGATGCTGGCTGGTCGTATTTGTTTTTAGCTGTCCTACTCTTACCACTTCAGAAAATTTGGAAGAGTGAAACAGCTGTTGTATGGGAAGTTGTAAGCTTATTGCCCATGGTAAACTCCCTGTGGCAGAGCTATTTTTATAGGACTTGAGAAAGGTTATAGGGTATCTTCACTAAGCTGAGACTTTGAAGCACACAAGGATTCAGTTTTAGAAAAATTTTTCGTTTATGTGTTTATTATTAGCTGCATATAATTTAAGATAGACGAGAAAAAATCATGTGGTTTATTCTTTAGTAAAATTGTAAGGGAAGTGGTTTCAGGTACAGTGCTGGAGAGCCCAGAGTTTCATCTTGCTGATTGTTTCAGAAAATTTTTTTTTTACAACTGTAATAGAATATTATTTGCATGTGTTAGAATATTTATTATTATTATTTTTCATTATTATTAATTCTCTTTAGATTGCAAGCTGTCTTTGTAAGCGTTAAGCTCTGTGGTTGTCTGGGCAGTTATAAATGCCTAATTTAATTGCTCGGATTTTTTTAACTACTAGCCTAATTCAGTATAGGACAGAGTTTCTAGAAGATGGAAAAAGGCTGAATGAACACAGTAGACTGGGTTTTTTTTTCAGTCCTTCATGCGTTTTTTTTTCAACCGAAAGCACTTTTTCTGTGGGGGAGGATGAAGGGGTTATGCTGTTAGTCATACATCTTGATAGACCATCAACTGGTACTGTGTTGCTACTTAACTGAGTCCCATCCCCCAGTCATTTAAATAATTTTGAATTTCCAGGCCCCTCTCCTTTCTCTTAATACTGGAGGGTGATAACTGAGAGTTGGAAGGCCCCCGTTATTTGAGAGTACAAGTGTAACATTGTTCTTGGAGAATTTTTCCCATTACTTTTTTTATAAATTCTTTTCCTGAAACACTTGTCCTTGCTCATGTTTAATGAGGTACGCTCATGAAATTGGAGGCCAGAAAGGGCTGGTGTGACGTCTTTATCACAGTCTGTTAGTTTATATGTTTATCTCTGAGTAGCCCAAAGCTTGAGTTTGGGAAAAACATGCAGTTCTAGTGCTATCCTGTGAAATGAGAGGGCTAATTTAGTAGTCAGCTCTTGCTGAAATGCACTTGTTCTGACCCTTCTCTGAGATTATTCATTTCTCTACACTGGCAGAAGACTTTCCACTTTTTGGTATCTGTCTTTATTTTTTTCTCTTCCTCATTTAGGTAGCTGAATTTATTCAGTGAGGATAATGTTGAGTATTAGGAGTTGAGGAAGGGGACGAAATGGATCTGTCTCTTGTGAGAGCAGTGAACTGTTAGATTATTTTAACCCTAATTTCCTAGAATTGTGGTTTTGGAAAGACCTTTGTATCTTGATGATTGTTCCAAAGGCAACTCACCCTCGCTATCACAGATGTGTACTTGTATTCCAGTTTAATTTATTTTATGTGGCTTTGCGTGGTATCAGATTGCAACCATTCATTTTTGTCTATTTTTCTCAGCTATCCTAGGATCTTTTAGTATCTTTTTTTTTTTTTTTTTCTTAAAATAGTCAGATCTGGCAATTCTAGTCCCTCCTCTTTCTCATAGATAACTTCAGATACGGCTGTTTTAAAAGAAGCTTGAGATAGTTCTGCTTTACAGTGCAGGCTTTTTGCTGTTACTTTGTTTATTCAAAAAGTTACCAATGGTGATTTTTCTTCTTTTAGTTTATCAATGAAAATATTGAATGACGTTGAATATTTTAGTAGGCTTTGAGGGGCATTCTGTGAAATGCTTTTGTTTCTGTTATGAGCTTCGTTTATGTGCTAGTGCTAGTTTTTTGACTGTCAAATAGTAAGCCAAAACTTTTAAAAATAGGTATGCAATTACTTCTATTGACCAAATGTTTAATATTTTTTTGAAGAATCACGTAGAGGATGTTTTTTAGCAATGTGTTGAATAGCCCTAACTATGTTCAGATAATTAATCTTCCTCTTTATTTTCCATTTCTTTGTGATCTGAATTTCTTTCTACCTGAACTTGTTTTTTGTCTTTGCTATATCATACATTCTTGCTGTCTTTTGGAATTTGTGTAGTGCATTTTTATAAAGAGCTGTCAGTGGTGGGCCATAGTGCTGGGAAATATTTTCAAACCCTTTGTTGCATTTGTCATATTACTGGCAGCTGAAGAGATTAGTGACTTTTTCCTACTTCAGTTTTGACTCAGTTCTTCTGAAACTGTTTCTGTTACGTGGAGTTTTCTATATCTGAAATAAAGTGCTGAAATTCTAGTCAGTTTGCTCTTTGGAATGTATGATATGTCTTATGTCCTAGTTCTTGTTTAATATTGCAGTGAGCACAAAACAATCGCTGTTTGTTGATGTTCAGTCACTCCTGGAACTGTATGGGATCAGTAACTATGGACAAATACTGTGTGCTGATGATGAAGTCCTATTTAGGGCTGATTTGGGGTATCATCTGTTCTCTTCTAGCCCACAAGATTTTTATCCTCCTCTGTCCCCCGTGTTATCCGTACAGTAAGCAGCTCTGAAAGAGACGTATCCATCTGGAAAAACAGCTTTTAGCACTGATTTATGTCTTGGCATTGGCTGCCCTATTTTCAAGTATTTCCTATATAGGCGTAAGGAGCTATTATACATATTCCCATTCATTTCATATAGCGCAGTCTCACTTTGAGATATTCGATTTTTATGTAGTGTTTAAGGCATAGTTTTTTGTTGTTTTTTTTTTCTTGTTTGATTTTTTTTTAAGGTGCGCAAGTAGAAATAGGTTTACATTCTTGAATTACAGCTCATATTTCAAATAATTGGCATCTCATTTTAGTATTAGGACATACATGTTCTAATGTGGGCATTTGTCATATTCATCATAGAATGACATAGGCTGGAAGGGACCTTAGAGATCATCTAATCCAACCTCCCTGTCATGGGCAGGGACACGTCTCAACTAAATCAGGCTACTCAAGGCTCTGTCCAACCTGGCCTTGAACACCTCCAGGGAGGGGGCATCCACAACTTCTCCGAGCAATTTATTCCAAAGTCTTACCACCTTCGTACTGAAGAATTTCTTCCTAAGATCTAATCTAAATCTGTTCTCCTTCAACTTAAACCCGTTTCCCCTTGTCCTATCAGTGGACACTCTTGTAAAAAGTCCCTCCCCAGCCTTCCTGTAGGTTCCCTTCAGGTATTGGAAGGCAGCTATTAGGTTCCCCCGAAGTCTTCTCTTTTCAAGGCTGAACAATCCCAGCTTCCGCAACCTGTCGTCGTAGCAGAGGTGCTCCAGCCCCTGGATCATCTTTGTGGTCCTCCTCTGAACACGCTCCAACAGATCTATGTCTCTCTTATGGTGGGGTTATTGAGTGTTTATTATGGAAGGGGGAATCCATTTATCCCTGTCACTAGATAGTTCTTTCACTGAAGGAAGAATGAGAGTAAGCAGTTGTCCTAAAGTTTAGCTAGTCTGGACTGTAGTTCTTTGTGTTGCATCCTCTTTATGGGACAGATGCTATGTGGTGGCAGAAGTTTTGTAAGCCCGTTATTTCTATACTTCCTGAATTCTTAAGCCATGTTTATCAAGATGATGAGACATGAATGTGATTTTTGTCATCTTACAAAAGCCTGTTTGACCCTACTTTCAGCTTGAGGAGGAGGGAATAAAGCATTTATGAAAGACCTAGGCTGGAGTGGCTCCCAAGCCCCCTGGGCTCCCTGTGCCTCCTTGCTGAAGTGCAGCTTGGGCCATATGGTGGCCTGCTGACACTCTTGCCCACAGGACATGGCTGTCTCACTTGCTTCTTCCCTGAAGAGGTGGGAAACAGCAGTTTGGACAATATGCCCAAATGGCCTTGAAGTGAAGGGTCTAGAGTGGGGTCCTAGCTAACTGCGGTTTAAATGCCTGCACTTTGGGTCTGTGTGCTGTGATATAGTTGGAGGAATAGGGAAAGGAAAGCATATGAAAATGCTTTCCTTAAAAATATATATCTCCTTTTTCAACTTGCCGAATGCTTGCTGAAAAGAAAGCTTTGTGCAGACTCATTGACTGCTCTCCTCATGTTAAAGGCACGTGCTCTATATGGTGTTCGTTTCTGTTTTTTAAGGTTCAGCTTCTTAAATTTGTTCATGTTTTCCAGTGAACTTGATGATGACTTGCTTGGAGAGGATTTGCTAACTGGCAAAAAGGTGAGAGATGTGCATTAAAGTGAATTGTTACAGATGTTATAAAGTAAATGTTGTTCAACTTACCCACTTCAGTTGTTTGGTAATGCCTTTTATGTATTTTAATACATATATTAATACACCTCCCCAAAGCCTGACAGCCTCAGGTACCTGCAATCTGTCCTGTTGCCAGAGTGCTTGGCACCCAGAGCTCTGTTTCCTTTTGTCAAGTACCTCCAAGTGTGGCTTTTAAAAATAAAACTTTTAGAAAAATTTTTTTCTGAGGTAGTGTTTCTTCTGACAGCACACTGTTCAAAAAGGAGATGGTTTGCAAAATCGATTTTGCTGTAGCTCATATTGACTTAACAATTAAAAAAACTCAAACCCGAAATAATAATAAAAAAACCAGTTATGCCCACTGAGTGCTGATTAGCATTCTGGAGAATTCACTTCAGCTGCCAGTGTGCTGGCTATTAAAAGCTACTCATCAAAATACCAGCAGTATTTACCAGAGAGTAAATAAAAAAAGCAATCAGTAATGTCTATTAAAGGTCCACTCACTGCACATAATCCACTACTGCTTTGTCTAATGAGTAGGCAGAGGATTTCTCCTCCTGTGGTGAGGGAAGAATATGGGAGCAGCTAGCACTGGAGAACATAAACAAGTGCCCCCATATCTGCTGTGCGCTCTTCACTCTTGACACCTTTTTCCAAAATTGAACTCTATGAAAAGAACTCAGGTGTATGTTTGGATTTGCCAGATATCTGCAGAAGACAGGACTTCTGTTTGGAAAATCAAAACTGGCTAGTTCCTCTTTCTCCACTTTATCTGCTAAATAAATTAGTTTAGAAAATAGTTTTTAAAGTTTTGGTTGGAGGTGAATGGGTTCTTTAAGAAACCCAGATCTGGTAAAAGCTGAGTTTTAATTGGTTTAATTTTTTATCATCACACTCTAAATGTTGGAAGTTAGCTTCTTGAAATTATTCTATAAGTAATTCCTATTAAAGATATCAAGTTTCTTTGTCTCATGTACTGGTTTAAAAAATAAAATTCTAGGAGGATAGGGATTGCAGGTGTGTGTTATGCAGTTATAAAAATATAAGCAGTTAACATGGCATACATCTTTGAAGTTGAAACATGAGTTGATAAAGCTACTTACTTATCTTAAAAAAAATAAAATTATCTGTATGAATACTAACCAATACCAGATTTCTCCAATGTACTATGTGTTCTTGGTTTTTTTCTATTCTCATTTTCAGTTTTCCATGTTACAGGACTCTGAGCAGTATCTGTGGGTATGGACTCATATGGTGGAGGAATAATAGATTTCTCAGGAAGTTTTCCCTGAGCTATTTAGGCTAAACTTGCTTCTACTTAATCTCATCCCAGTACTTTTAGATAAATCTACCCTTGTATAACCTTTCTGCCCCTATTACTTTAGGGGATGGAAATAATGTTGCTGAGCAAAACTGCAGTTATCTCTTCCTAGTGAGTAATTATTAGAAAAAAAAAAAAGAAACAACCGAAATTTTGATAGACAAATGGGGAGGAGTTCAGAAAAGGCATGACGTTTTCTTCAATTATTTTTCTTCACTTACAAACTAGTTATGTTTTTTCAGTTTTCTTCATATCGCTATATTCTTTCTTCCAGTCTAAGTATCTCTGCTCTCTAGAAACTGCAGTGACTTAGTGGTTTTTCTTGACTTACCTAATGCATTAAGGTCACAAGGTAGTTAAATCAGAGCACTAGAGCTAACCTTTCTTCCTTCCTGATATCACTTAAATGAGTTGTCCTTTTTGGCTATATGTGGGACTGGATCAGTGAAAAGTGTTGATAACTAGGCAAATTAGAGTTTTGTAAATTTCCGTGATACTGTAAAACATCTGTTTTCAGATTTGTTGTCTTGAGTAGCATATTTTTTTCTCATCAAATTAGGTAATTTCGTATGGTCTTAGTCTGGGATGTGTTCCTCATAAAAAATACTTAGTGTTCAGAAGTTTCAGTAGTTTCAGTACCTAGTTTAAAAATTTGTATCTGTTTTATGTTCATGATTCACTTTTTCTGAAACTTAGAATCAGTCAGACTTGTCGGATGAAGAGCTGAATGATGATCTTCTGCAAAGTGACAATGAAGAGGAACAAGACTTTGGGTATCTCTTTTCTAAATCTCATGTTTTGGATAATTCTAAGCTGTTAATGACTACTACTCCTGATAACTAATAACTGCTAAACTGAAGTTACTGGTATATACTTAAAATAGTTAAGCTTTTTATCTAGCCAGCTACTTAATGATGTATATATAATGTGTTCAGTAGCATTGTTAGCATTTTGGTAAAATGATTTTTTATCTATTTGAATCTAATAAATTTAACTCAAATCGTAGAATCATAGAATGGCACAGGCTGGAAGGGACCTTAGAGATCATCTAATCCAACCTCCCTGTCATGGGCAGGGTCGCCTCTCAACTAGATCAGGCTACTCAAGGCTCTGTCCAACCTGGCCTTGAACACCTCCAGGGAAGGGGCATCCACAACTTCTCCGGGCAATTTATTCCAAAGTCTTACCACCCTCCTACTGAAGAATTTCTTCCTAAGATCTAATCTAAATCTGTTCTCCTTCAACTTAAACCCGTTTCCCCTTGTCCTATCAGTGGACACTCTTGTAAAAAGTCCCTCCCCAGCCTTCCTGTAGGTTCCCTTCAGGTATTGGAAGGCAGCTATTAGGTTCCCCCGAAGTCTTCTCTTTTCAAGGCTGAACAATCCCAGCTCCCGCAACCTGTCCTCGTAGCAGAGGTGCTTCAGCCCCTGGATCATCTTTGTGGCCCTCCTCTGAACACGCTCCAACAGATCTATGTCTCTTGGAGCATGTTCAGAGGAGGGTCTATTAATCTATTAATTAATTATTAAATTATTGATTATTAAATCTATTAAAAATGCTTATAAAGAGGAGAACGCGTCATCTCCTACTTAGAATTATTTATAAATACTTAACAGAGCTCCTGTTGTGTGCTGCCTTGGTGTCGTTGTAGGCTTCCTTCTCCTGTAAAGTCCTTTTCTGCCATCTTTCTTCTAAAAATACGTCTTACCTCCTAAGACCCTGAGGAGGGGAGCTTCATAGTTTGTACAGCTCGATTTGCGGCTTAAATATTTGTGTACAGTCACACAGCAGAAAATTTTGTACAGAGTTTATAGACTTGAGCAGGTACTTCTGTGGGAGTTTGCTGAGGATCCTGCCCTGTGAATACTCTGTAGTGATACAGCTTCACAACTGAATTGTGAGCATTATGAGTCAAAATGAGTGTCTTGACATTTTTACTCTTCAACCTAGACTGAATGAAGATGTTTGCGATGCAGAAGTGATGCAGTGCTACTGCTGCTTTTAATGGCCTGTGTGTTTTGGCAGCTTTTCCTTTACTTGCTGCGTGCTATGAAGGCATGTCGTCTGAAGGGATATGAATATATAAATACACACACAAACATACATATGTATATGTAAAAAAAGCATGTATATTTTGCCCTGAGATATCCTTTCTATCCTTGGCTGGAATTAGGATAATGAGTCTTGTCCCTGGGTTGGATTCATAAGGGTGACCGTCAGCCTCTCTGGCTACTGTTTTCCTCCCTGCAGGAATGAAAAGTGGACTGTTCCCTTCAGAACGGGAAATCCTGGTTACAGTCCTTGCTGTTTTTTCTCTAGATTTCCTCCTTGCGAGCCCTGGGCTGCACGGATGTTTGTGTGACTGCGCTAGTGATGAGAAAGTGTTTGAAGTGTGATAATAGTGCTCACTGGAAGCAGGTTTTCGTAGACAAGGCTTGCATTTTTAGCAGTTTTATTGCCAGGGAGCGAGTGCCTTGCTCCCCTCCTTTTCCCTCTCCCTCTGTTTCCATTCAAACTCATTTGTGCCTCTCTATTTGGGAGGATAATGATAATCCTGCAAAATGTCTTGGTTTTCATGATAAATCTTCCCTGTCTGATAGACGCAAATAGCTAAAAGCTGCCTGGATCTCGTTCCGCCAAACTTACAAAAATAGTGAATGATAGGAATGTAATTAAAAACCAACAACTTTTGTTTTCTTTCTACCTAGAGCCCTCAAATCAATCAGAGCTTCCCCCTGCTGCTTTTATAACTGGTTTGCCGTTTGTTAGTCACTCTTTTATGTGTTGATGACACTAGCTGTTGTAAACAGTACATTCTGAGTTTTGCTTTTCCTCCAGATTATAATCTTTCCAGTTTTTATATTGATTTTTTTTCCCCAGTGTCTGTGCCAATACTGTAACTGATTCAGAATGTCTTAGGCATTTAACAGCAGTTCTCAACTATATATTTTATGTTATTTTGAGTAGAATGTTAGATTTGTCATAAAAGTGTAAGTTTAAATTCAGGATAATCAAGAAGGAATGTTGTTAATGCATTTAATAAATTATTTGCTAGCTTATTTTGAAAGATTAGGAAAACAGATGCAGTTACAATAATTCTGTGTATTTTTTTGTTAGTCTTGGAATTAAAATCGGATCCAGTCTGCTTTGGTTACCAAGCAGGACTTTTGCCAGTTTGACCTGCTAAACCATCTGGTTGGTTTGATTCCTCTGGTCAAATAGCCTGCAGCTGGTGATAAGCTGCAGTACAGTATGTATTATGACAATATGGCGTGGAGTCAAGCAGTGTGTGAGGTATAATTTTGTCCACCAACTTAGAGAATTTGTATTCGTTGGCTTTGTTTTACTAAACTTTTGAGTAGTTGACTGTTATGCTTCAACCTCTCCTTTTTTTTTCCCCCTGTACCATAGTTCTCAAGGCGTTACGGTTAGCCTCAGTGCTACATCTGGCATGCTTTCATCATACGAACTCTCTGAAACGATCAACGATCAATCAATAGAACATGAGTCTGAGTATGACCAAGGGGAAGATGAAATTGTTTATGACAAATCTGAAGCACCTGAAGTATATGCTTCAGAGTATGCAGAGGAAGGACATTATGAAGGCAATGATCCTGAACTGACAGAAGACCAAATAGAATATGGGGAAGAACCTGGAGAAGAAGATGAAGTGCTAGACCTTGAAATCAATGAACCCCTAGATGAATTTCCAGTGAGTTTATTTCTATTGTATCTTCAAAGATAACATTACTTCACGTGCACAGGGTTTTAGACTGATTTGAAATCTGTTTACCTCCCTGGGGAGGAGGGGAAATTAGACCTATTATCACTGTCTGCCAGTTTCTTTATCTAGGCTGTGACAAAGTTTGTGTTGACAGCTTGTTTGGCGGTAGGTAATGCTCCTTTGTCATGCTGGAAGGCAGTTGAGAATCATGACCTTGAGGATTGTATCCTTAAGGAGGAAAACAGCTTTGTGTGGTGGAGATACACTGCCAATTGTTAGAAGTACTTAATGCAAAAGCTTTTATCCAGGCTTTAGACAAGATCTGATAAAGTCCTTCGAAGGTGAAAAGATTATTGACCTGCTAAAGACATCTTTAAGGTGCTAATATCCCAAAGTGATTGATGTCCTGCTCGTTCATCCTTTTTGTAACTGAGAACTGTCTAAACCTGAATAAAGAGATTGGAGGTTAGTTCAGAAAATGTCACCTGCATAATTCAATATAATTTAAGCAATGTATTAGAGAACACGCACTGACTTTAATTGCTACTGAAATTATTTGATCTTAATTAAAACCGTATGTGATCAGTGAGGTGTTTTAAAATACAAGCAAACTTACTTAGGAAAGGTTTTGCTGTCATTCATAACTGTTCAGATTTGAACCTGTTCATATGTCAGCACTTGTAGAGTGTTTTAAGAACGTTTATGTTTTTGATGTGGTAAAATCTGATGTTAATGTATATGTGCTATAGATGCATGTTTCCTTTGGTGAGAATGTACTGCAGTATTTGCCTCATGAATTTGTAATCAAAGCATGTAGAAGTACAGAAGTAGAGCAGGGAAACAGGAGTAGATGAGATCTTTATGATGACATTGCTGGGATCTGAATTAAAACTTTTTGGTTATGTTTTTGATAATATTGAAATTATTGTCTAGTTAAAAGCTCTGCTAATTATACTTTATATGATATGTCACTTAAAATTGACAGTTCTGATAGAATACTTCTGTTCCAGTTCTGGAAACAGTAACAATGCATACAGATTCCATCTCTTAATGGGTTTGTGATTATGTAAAATTGGCCTATGTCTTTTCACCTTCTTATGTTATTGCTTCAGGATGAAGATTACATGCAATCATATAATCAGCAAGCAATGGAAGAACAAGAAGAATATACAGCTGATGAGGAGCTGGAAGAATCCCAGGCAATGACAAATGAATCAGAAGAGGTATGTTGTGAATTTAATGGAAACTTAAAATAAGTAGTTGTTTCTGAATTTGAATTTGTAGAATTGTCTGTGGTGCTGGGTAAGAAATCATGCAACTTTGCCAATGTTGAATTATTGATGGTATTACTCTTTGTATAAGATGAATTGTGATAGCTTCTGTATTGTCAGATGCATCAGATCCTCTCCCTCATAAGGGAGACCTCAAAACGTCCATACTTAATCTTAGCTTCAACATTAGAAACTTCAGGGGCCCTTTTGGATAGGAGACTGATAGTAATACTGAGTGCTGCCTGTTAAATCTCCCAGTAGCTGTGGTGCCTTGCTTTCCTTCTAGGCAAAGGTTAGATTTTGGATAGGAGACTGATAGTAATACTGAGTTACTGTTAAATCTCCCAGTAGCTGTGGTGCCTCGCTTTCCTTCTAGGCAAAGGTTGGTTTGATTGTTGTTTTGAAAGAAGTTGTACTGGGACTGAAATGTCTGTGTTTATCTTTATTCTTTGATTAGGGAAAAGAATGAGTTACTTTGCAAGAAGAAAGCTTATGCCAAAAACTGTCAAGTGTACGTTTGCTAGTTATAGCCTAGAACAGTGATATAATACTTGTTATTAATTTGCAGCAAGTTTTTGATATGGGATTTTTTCCTTTCCCCACCAGGAATCTGCTTTAATATTACTTTTATTCCAGTTCTTAATTAAATGGGATTGAATGGATTACCTGCTGAGAAGTGTAGTCAGAGTGTGTTCCCTCTTTGGAGCTTTAACTCATCAGGAAATTAATTCCTCAAAGACAAAGTAACGTTCTTCTCTGAAGTTCTGACAAATGGGTGTGCTGTTATACTCTAGCTGTATGAAACTTATTATAATAAACCAGCATTCTTTAGTAGGTTGAGAGAGATGGACTGAGAAGGGACCACCTACCTGCATTGTTCAGTCTTCGCTGTTGCAAGCGTGATGTCTTAACACCAAATATGTCTTAACATAGTTTATTTCCTGCTTCCCAAGCGTTAAATTTACCCTTCCAAAGAACTGTGAAACACTTAAACACTTTTTATTCATTCACTGGACTAGATACCCTTTCCTTCTGGTGTTTTGAAAGCAGACTGATGCATTTGTGTTATCTGCAGCCACAGTCTGTATGAGATGATGAAAGCACTGCACTGTCTGGGAAATTAAGTACATAGCTGGGATTCACTGTCAAACTTACTGCTTTAAAAAAGCACAGCTTCACTTTTAGAGTAGGAACTAGTGAGAGTTCTGTCATAATTATGATTTCTAAGTTGGTCCAATTCAGAATTAAATTACTTTCATTCAAAAGATAACATTAATGCAAATTTTTAATTGATTTTGTTAATAGAGCTCTTAGAGAATTTGTTCATCATGTTTCAGACGTTTTGGCCACATCTTTATTCAGTTAATCTACATTCTGGCTTTACTCTCATGGCTTGTAGATTGACGCAGGTTTCTTGTTTCCAAAATAGTACCGTCTTTTTATTTCTTTATTATTTCGTATTTACATTTGTTGGTAGGCCCACTATTGCACTCTCCAAATGAGAATACCACGAAGAGAGAAACTTTGTAGAGTATGTACTTGTGTTTATTACGTGGCTAGTTGCATGTCCAGCTTAGGAGCTTTTCTGTTCTTTATTCAAGTGTTACGTAACAGCACTCCTCCTTAAATCTCATAACATTCACTGCTTGTAAACAAGGGTGATTGTTGGTGTTCTCCTGTAGAAAATGCAACACGAGAATGAAGCTGTAATAGATGAGGTACAAATAAATAGTGTTATCACTTCTTGATTGAAATTTGGTGTCTGAATAACTGAGAGCGAGCTGGTAGAGAAAAGTGCTTGGTAGTGTTGTATTTTAAGCAGTTTCCACATTAAAACCAAATAAAGCCTCTTACTATATTGCATGAAGAAATTTTGTAAACCAAGAGAAAAGCTGACTCGCTGGGGAATTCGAGCATGATAGGGGGAAACTGGTGAATAAGGGAAGTGAGAGACCTGTTAAGAGTGGCACTCAGGTGGGAAATGTGAGGAAGAAGCAGAAGTTTGTGTCCTTGGCCAGATGAGGTTCAAGGAATGCTTTTTCACTTGATATTTAATTTGAAACAATACTTAGAACTTGGATTTTGAATAAATAACACTCTTCGCAGAGCTTCCTTGAAAAATGTAGCAATGCTTCAGAAAATATTTTTGCCTCCTTAAGGTATAAAGCAAAACCCGTATCCCGAAGTTTCAGCATCAAATAGGTGTGCTAAAACTGTCAGTTACATGAGAGTTATGCCCTAAATATTTTTAGAGTAATAATATCGCTAATTATTTCTACAAAATGTTCATTAAAATGTATCCTCCTAAAATTAGAACTCATGATTTCTTTGTTTTATACTGGAACTCATCTCCTGTGAAGTCTACATGGGATTTCTCATTGCGTAAATGTAAACTGTTTCTTGGGTTATGCTGATAAATGATGAGGACTTTAATCAAGAAAACATTTTGTGAAAAAGTGCTGCATGTTGCTTTTCTTTTGATAGAGTACAGACTTGGAAAAAAAAAGGCCAATGTGTGTGTCTGTTGCATTGTTCCATCTGTGTGTAGCTGAAACTTACGTGTTTGAGTTCTTTTGTTCAAGTTTGAAGATACTACCTGCCAGCCCAACGGAAAATGATGAAAAGAGTGCAAATCAAAACAGTGAAGTTTTAAACGTATTTAGGAGCTCTTAGGTTTGTTTTTTATTCCTGTTTTTCATCTATGAAGTGGAAATGCCCTTGGAGTAGGTGTAACATCTTCTTACCTGCTCTCTGTTATATTTTGGTCCCTTAGGATTGAGGAATTGCTCCTGCTTCAGTGTTAGCCTCTGGTAGAAGCCTCCACTGCTTATTTTCTAGCTGGTTAAAAGTTCTTTGTTTCACCTTTGTAATGTTTCATGTGGAAGGAATCTGGTTTAGCCTTTACAACACTTACCTCTTTTGTACATCTTGGTGCTCTCTGCCACAAAGCTCTCCAGAACATGACAGTCCCATGTTTAGGAGGATCCTTTGCTAAGATCAGCGTTTATCATGCTGACTGGTGTTTTCTCCTGCTTTCCTTGGGCTGTGTCTGTTATCAGTCCTCCAGCTGCGTGGTAAGCTGCTTGGGGCAGGAGCACTCGCTCTGTTGCAGATCATAACCCAGCATGGGGAGTTCTGGTCAGTGACTGGGATTTATGGTGTAATTATTTAATGAGAATGGCAGGAAACACTGACCAAGAAAGGTTGTTATTTTTCTTGGTAAGGAAGAGTCAGAAAGGCTCTTTGGTAGGTTTTTGCAAGGTGTCGTAATGGGAAATGTTAAGCTCCCTTTGAGGAGAGCTGCTAAGAAGCCTTGGCTGGCTAGTCCGGTCAAATGGCCTCAAGTAGCTGTTCAAGGACTGTTTATGTATATGCAGAGATATTCCTGATTAGCAAGTATTAAATAGTCCTGTAAGTACTAGTATGTAATAATTCTATATCTACACTTGTGTCTTTTCCTATGTAAATTTCTTTGGAAACGTAGAATCTATTCATAGACTGTAATCTTGGCAAAACAACTCATCCTGTTAGGCTGGAAGTTGGAAAAGATGATCGAAAGAAGTCTTGCAGGCCACAACTGTTGAACAAATTGTGGGGGAAGGGTGTATGCTCCTACACAGCTCAAATAACCTTTCCTGGAGCTATATGTAGAGAACATATGGTTGGCTGTCAGACATGTTTGTGTCTCCATTGCATCTAATATAAATCCCTCAATAATACATGTAATCAGACTTGGACATGGGTCAGTTAGCATTCTCGAGCACTGCCTTTCCAGGGTGCCTGCTTTTTCATTAGCTCCTTTGATTTTTTTGTCTTTGATATTTAACGCTTGTACAGCTGTTGTTTGCTAATAGATGGCATGAGCATTATGCTGATGAATCAAGTGAGTCAGACCCAGAAGACTACAGAATTGGTATAAGTGTCTAAGAATAGAATAGTGCTGATCTCGAAGAGTTTGAGAAATGGATTCTTTTTATTGTTGCATAGGAAAGTAGTTGTCTTGTAGTCTGTTACAACTTGTTGTGTGTTGCTTGTTTTTTGTTGGGTGTGTTGGTTTTTGGGTTGGATTTTTTTTGAATGGATATATTTTTTTCCAGTAAGAATAATTATCAAAAGGCAAGTATTTTCTGTAGCATTTCATTAAAGCATTGCAGAATTTTTCAGGACGATGTAGACTGCATTAACCCTTCTAGTTCTGATTCTGCAGCCTGAGCTACACATAGGGCCTTGCAGGACCAAGTTTGGCCCTCACAGATGAGATTATGCGACTGAGACCAGTCTCTGATGAATAAAAACTGGAATTTTGATGTAGCTTTTAAGGGTCATGGACACAGATAGTAGATATATCTGGGGTTTATGCTCTAAAGTAAAGCAGGGCTTAGTGTAGGGACAGCATGTCTTGAAAAGCAGCCACTCCAGTTCTGAGTTGCAAATTCTGATCCTGAAGGGAAAGTTTTCAAAGACAGGCATCGGGACAGTAAAATTACTTGGTTTATGATATTTAAAACCAGAGGTTTGAGAGAAGTATCACTCCTTTCTCTTTTGGGAGCCCCTCTTTTGAAAGTAAAATGCTAACCCTGTCTTTCTCCCTTGTTTTTGGTTGTTTTTATTAAACCCGTTTCCTTGCTAACATCCCTCCTCTGTTCCATGAGTCTCAACTGCCTATCCTTAGAGATGCTTTGAGTATACATAGATATGTTATTCAGACATACTGTGCTCAATTTGGGTTTGCTTTTGAGGTTTGAATTTCTTTCAGTCTTGAAGGATGTGGGGTTTTTTTTGCCTGCTATCCTGTCTGTTGTTTTTAGCTGCATTTTTTTATATGATAAAGTCATTATATAAAAATAAATGTATTCTTTTTTAAAATATAAACCTCAAAGCTTTTTGTGAACTTTGGCTATTCTCTTAGCTGTATCTTAAAACATTTTTTTGAGGTCAGGAAGTGCAGTACTTGACTGTTCACCTGTAGTGGATAAAATATTCTAAGACAAGGAGATGATAAAATGAAAATAACTTTCAGTAGCCCATTAAAGCCTGGTATACAGATAATTTATTCACCAGACCAAAGTTGGAGTAGCTTTGAGCTTGATTTTGTATGGTGTGCTTTTAAAATAGAAACTGTCTTGCCAGGTTCTGTCTCTGATCTTGCTTCCCATGTTTCTTTTTGGTTTTGGATGAAGTCGGGCTTCTGGATAAGGAAATTTGCAATCTCTTGCACCATTCTGCCATTAATTCTTTTTCTTAGTTTTTGACTTAGTATCTGTCCACCTGACTGACACACTTGTGCCTTTTTCGTATAAATTACTGAACCAATCTGGTTAATTAGAAGATTAGACCATTTTTTGCATGTTATTTCACTCATTTTTTTAACTGTCTTCAAGCAACATAAAAGTTATGATGTATTTAGTGGCCTTGCAAAGAATTAGAATGCATGTATGATGCTGTAAGAAATGAGCAAGTAGGCTTGTACAACAAATAACCAAATACACAGTAACCAAATATTTTATAGTAAATTGTAATATATTGGAACACTTCTAATTTTCAACTCTAGAAATCAACTATATCTTTGTATACATTCTGAACATTATCATGCTAGCACAAGAAAATGAATTATTTTTTTTTAACTTTGAAGGAGAGGGATCCATCTTAATTTGGGACAGTTTCATCTAAATAAATGCTCTCTGTTACAGAGAGAACTTGAAAGTAACTTGAGGACAAGGGAGTAGCATTCCAATATACAAATTTAGTCTATTCATATTTTACCCAATCCTGTTCTCCATTCTTACTTGCTGAGTTAAAACTAGGAAATATTCAAGGAGTAAAAAAAGTAAAGAGAAGTACGGCTATACATACCTAGGGGAATAAAATCACGATGTAAGGTTATCTGGTTTTGTTGGGGTTTTTTGTTACTGGCTGTTTGGTTTGTTGTTTTGTTTTTGTTTTGTTTTTTTTTTTAACAACATGATACTGACAGTTGTTAACAAATGAAAAAAAAATAATGATTTAATGAATCTGGTGGTATCCCAGGTTTGCATCTTAGGAAATTCAGTGATAAAATGTCTCTCTATGTGCAAAAATAGCTACTAATCAGGTGGTGGGTCTAACTGGAGTTTCCATATTCCCTTAAATATTGCAGAAAAATGGGTTTTCTCAGTAGATCTTACTATATAATTTATTATATATGTCATATCTTTATGTTTGTAAAAAAACTCGCCAAGCTCTTAAATGTTCACTGAGTTATGTATGAGAATAATATGTACTGCCAGCAAAATTTGAACAAAGGGACCTTTTAAAAAAAGCTTTGTCTTTTGACACTTAGTGGTCACAAGAAAGTAGATCTTTTCAGTTTGCATGTCCTCTATTTTGTTATTCAGGCAGCTATTGAATCTCTGGAACTTCAAGAAGAAACAAAAGAGGAATCTGATGAAGAAGAGGATGATGACGAAGAGTCTGGACGATTGCGTTTCAAAACTGAACGGAAAGAAGGAACAATAATTAGGCTCTCAGATGTGACAAGAGAAAGGAGAAACATTCCAGAAACTTTGGGTGAGATTTTGTTGAAATGGAGTATTTTGAAAAGCTGTAATAAAAGAAAATAAAAGACAGGCTTGCCAAAACTTTTAGAAAAGAGTTTAATGGCAATGGCCTTCTGACTTAGACTGGCCTGTATCCAGGTTATCCAAAGTCATGTGTAGTCTGTTGTAGTATGTGCAGTGTCTGTCTCCTTGAGAGGAATTTTTAAGCATACTGTGTTTTGAAAACCAGCGCAATGTTTGTTCTTTGAAACTTTTGTGGTTGTCCTGGTTTTGACTGGGACAGAGTTGATTTTTCTTTTTAGCAGCTAGAAGAGCTCTGTGTTTTGGATTTAGACTGGGATTTGTTACGAGAAGAGTGCTGATAGCACACTGGTGTTTGTAGTTGGTACTGAGACATCAAGGACTTGCGGCTTTTTTTTTTTTTCTGCCAGTGTGCAGGAGCACAACAGGCTGGGGGGGAGCATGGCTGGGACGAAGAGTCCACAACTCCTCTTATGATTTGAACTTAGATTTAGGATTGAGGGCCAAATTGGCCAATGGAATATTCCATATCGTGCAGTGTCATGCCGAGTATATAAGTGAGGGTTGATCGAGAAGTTGGGAATTCTCTCTTTTGGGGGACTCTCTTGGTCTCTTGGAGTTCTGTCTCTCCTTCGCTTTTTTTCTGGGCCTCTTGCTCGTCAAGGATTGCGGTTTTGGGACTTTACCTGATTTGGGATCAGTTGTCAGACTGGGCGTTGGTCACTGGGTGGTGAGCAACGATGCCGTGCATCACTTTTAATTGCTTTATCACTATTACTTTTAGTCTTCTATTATTATTATTACTAAATCCCCTTTAATTCCCTTCCCCTTTCCCCTAGGGGTGGGGAACGGTGAGTGAGTGGCTGTGTGGCTTTTAGTTGCTGGCCAGGTTAAACCACAACAGTGGTATCTTTAAAAGCTTTTCTCTTTTCAAGCAGCAGATGCCTGATCTGTGCTTCACTATGTATTGTGGTGGAATACATTTTCAGAAATTCTTTTGGACTTCCATCTTTGAAAGGTTTTCAGTTGATAACACAAATCTTGTTACTTGTGTTCTGCTGTGAAATATCTATGTGTTTGCTGTTCTTCCCCCAGAAACATAAGTGTGCTGTGAACTTGTATTCCTATTGTTGGATTGGCCTGGGGAAATTGTAACTTGCTGAGGAGTGTGTTAGAAAAGTATAGAAACCCCTGATTTCTGGATTCAGCTTTTCTAGCATGGAACAACCTGGATCTCTTATACCACCTTGATTCTTGAGGCAGTGTCTAAAAGGGTGTATTTTCTTCATATTTGAGTAGCATAACACAAGCGTGTTTTGTTTCTAGGAACACTTCTCCATGTAGCTAATGAATTTGCCGCTGCTTGTTCAGAAGAAGCAGTAGATTTGCAACTTTCTTGCAGCTCCTCTGTTTTAGTCTACACATAAAATCACATTGGTTTATGGTTTTGAGAGTTAACTTCAAGACCTCTCGTGTACCCTGGTCCTCAGGTATCTGATACTGGTGTTTTTAGAATTCTCTGGCATATACCTGCCCCACCAGGGATAACTATATTGCCTCTTCATGTTGACCTTACAGTGGTGGTAATAAATAGTAAAATGTCAGATTAAAAAAGTGATTAGGGAGATGGGCAGAAATTAAGTTTTGCTTTCAGAAAGATGTACCATTCTCATAGTTTTGCTACTGAACCAAAATATCAATTCAAACTATGGAGAAAAAGCCCTGATCTTTTGAAGAGAATCAAGATATGCGAGAGAGATGAACTGGTAATGAAGGCAAATTGTCAGATACTGTTGGCTAATTGTCACATACCACTGGAAGAAGATGTATTTTTTGATGATACTTCAAGTTTTCCCAGACTGTAGGGATGGATTCTTCACACAGGATTGCTTTAAGATGGGTGCCATGCAGTGTGAGCTTGCAAGCTGGGTGATGCTGCTTTCTTTCCGGATGAGTCAGTGTCTTTGGGACGACAGGGTGTTTTGGAGTTACGTTCCCAGACCACATACCTACATTGCTGGCACTTGTCCCGATGAAATTTTCTTCTTACCTTAAAAGTTATGCTTTGCATAGGATGTTAGTTCTAGGGATTTTTCTCTTGAGTTGTATAGCCTACTAATTCTTTAATTTGATTGCAAGGAATTTGGGCTTTTACTATACATGGAAAAATTGAGAAGCCTTAATTCTGTAACAAAGGTGGTGTTGGTGAGCAGCAAGGAGTCAGCTGCAGAGGCTGAACCAGACTTTCACAGTGGTATTCATGTAGGCCATGTTGTGCTGTGAGAGGCGTCAGTGCATGGTTTTAATCAAGATCTTTCTCATCTGTTGTTCGTATTTAGCAAATAACTCTTCTTACTTGCAATTTCAGGCAAAGTGTGTATTAAGGGCCTTTATTCAGTATTTTCTTAATAATGAGGAATTGATTCTGATTAGAATAAGACTGAAGGGAATCCTCTAGAGGCACAGAGTAGTCTATATGGGCAAGGGATATTTTAGCTGAGGTGCATTCCAAATGTGTTTTCAACCATAAAACCATATTTCTACATACCTTACAGAGACCAGATCTTATTTATACAAAAGATGCTGGTGGCTTTACAAAAGAGAATATTTTAAAAACAAGTGCACTGGAATAGCTAAATCTGGATATAATTGCAAGATAAATGGCAATTGCATGCATGTCCATATATCTGTTCATTTATCCTGTAGTTTAGTGTAAAGACAAGACCAGCCGGTGAGGAGAAAACAGTAGTGGAGCTTGACTGTTAAAGGAACAGGGGTTTGAATTAGACATATTTTCAAGTGTAACTTTAAATTATTTGAGACATAGCTCTGAGATACAAGGCAAAAGTGATGCAAGTGTGGATGAATCTGTGAACTAAAGAGTTTTTTTTTGAAACTAATCTTTGGCAAAAATACAGTTTTGCTGTTGTGAAATAGTTTCTGTTCATACTAGTTTTTCATGTTAATTTGTTGATAAAGAGACCAAATGATTGACCACGTGGTGGAAAGTTAAACAGGAAAAAAAATACTTGTTTGCATATAAATACCTGCTTGCTTTTGAAATTATAGAGTAAATTTTTACAGATGCTACTGGTTTTAAAATGAAACTTCATTGCAGAGCTACATCTCCTTTCTTTAAAATCTGAACATAGTTGAGAAAACACTTAAAGAGGAATTAACATTTCAGTTGAAGTTACAAACGTAATTTCCATCCTGTCACATTTTGGTGACCTTTTGTGACAGCTTGTCTCTATTGGAGGAGTGCATTCTTACTTGCTGATTAAAGATGTCATTTGAAACCATTTTATTACCAGCGATAGTGAAATTAATCTTGACACTTAGAGACACTAGAAAAATAATTGCTGATTCACTGCATTAACTGCATGTGTGAGAACTGTACAGTCAAGATGAGAATAAGTGTGTGCTAGTAAAAAATATGTAAAAATAAAGAGTATTCTCATGAATGTAGCTGAGATCTTTCCTAAACATTTCTTCATCCAAGATAATGTAAGTAGTGGTTTTAAAAAGTTTAAAGGAGAGGTATTGTAGGCCAGCTATGCAATTGATTTCTAGAGATACTGGGTTTGTCATCTTTGATGAGGAATATATGACTTCTTTTAGTGCATCTAGTTGAAGTCTTCCCAGAGTTGGAATTGTCATTATGCTCTGGATTTAGTTACTCAGTAAGGAATGTGAACAAAAATGGCTTTGTTTGGCATCACCAAACTGAAATACTCTCTCTGTACCTAATTTTAAAAAAACAAAACCCTACGCTTATGCAGAGCCATTTGCAAAGTTTTAACAAAGTTTATTGGGTGTGGTAGTACTTTTTGTTCACTTTGATAACTGGTGGCTGAGATTTCAGGCAAGACTAGGAGATTAAAATGAATGGTTTCACTGTTGTCCTGTTGCGCTGTGTGCAGAAGCGCATCGTATAATCAGGTTGCCAGTCTGGATGATGGGGAGAAAAAACTTAATACGAAGGAGAACATTAGCTATCTCAGTTTAGGCTGCATGTGTATATAGATGCATATGGATGTTTTTTTAATAGCTGTTCTGGAATGTGATTTATGTTGTAAGTCTCTGCATTACCCAGGATAATAGGGATTTGGGGATTCTCAGACCTGGGGGTTTGAAATGCCATTGCTCTTGGAGCCACCCGAGGCAAATGTAGCTGCATAGACCAGTGCTCAGGGTTGGTGTAGGCAGGAGCTGGTGGCCACGTGCTGCAGCACCCTGCACACACTGTTCGGGGGGCATGGCAGCATCCAGCTTGGGTGTGTTTTGATCACAACACACACGAGCTCTGAGCCAGGGAGAAGCATGGGCGTCTTTGTGGGAATACCTGGCTGTGCTTTGGAAGAGTCTAGAGAGGGCAAGAGGATCTCTTCCTCTGCTCATCACCTTCTTTCTAGTTAGCAGTCTGATCTTGCTTTCAGGGAAGGCAGGGACTATTTTCCTTGCTCCCCTCCCTGCAAAACCATCTTCCACACTATCTCTTCTCCTTGATATCTGTATTTGTGGCACAATGCTTTCAAATTCATTGAACAGCCCACCTAACAGTTGAGCGGGCTGTGTGTTTTGCTGCATGGTGACTGTTAGCAATAAAAAGCACTTAAAGTATTCATGGTTTCAGCTCACTACTTGAGTCTTCACTTTTGCAGTCTGTCTCTGAGGCTCCGAACCTGCAGTTTTGTGTGTTAGCAAAATTCTTCACAGGTAGGAGGACACTGTTGCCTTCAGTGGCATGTTGTGGGGGAAGTGTACTTGATGTTAATGTAATCTTACATTCTTTTTTTTTTTTTAATAAATTGAACAGTTATATTGTACTTCTGTGGCCATAGATGTGGTATGAATGTAATTATGCTTGCTGCAGTGAATTTGTGGCCGGTTTTGTTTTGATTGGGATATTGTTTCCAAGGTCAGTGTAACACACATTCTCACTTTTCTGGCTGAAAAACTGAATACGTGGACTGTGTCTTTAAAGACACAGCCTTTAAAGTTTGAGAACTTCTGTGTAAAGTGAGTAGGAAAACAATTTATTAGTTTTCATTTTAAAGAGAGTGAAAAGTACCTGCCCATTGAAGATCATCGGGACTGACTTTGCCCTGGATGCTGCCATCCCTTCCCTAAACTTAATCAGCACAGATCTCTGAAGTCATTTTGTTTGGAGCAGCTCATTCTTTCTTCTAACGTTGTTTTTATTCAGTGTCCTTTGGTACGTGCTCAAGAGGCTGAGAGACTCAAAACATGATCTCGCCTTGTAGGCAACCTAGCTCTATTCCCAGGTTCCTTAGGAATTGCTTTCCTCACACGTGACTTCTGTTTAATAGGAAATACCTTCTTATCATCTTGAATATCAGTGGTAGGTACTTGTTGCAGTGACTGAACTTTGCTTTCCAACCTACCTTGCTGAGTTCAGGGTGGAAGATGGCAGAAAAATTGCCCTGCCTGTTCTATTCTTGGGGGGAAAAAAAGAAAACTTTCCAATTAGCAGCATGCCCAGGTTGCCCTGCAGGATTTGGATCCTCTCTAGTTAAAGGGAGGAGAGCTGTTGCTTACAGCACCATTTCTTCCTGTAAGTATATGGAAGCTGGTCATCTTTCTTTCCTGCAGACCAACTAAAAGCCCATATTGACCCTCTCATACTTGCAAGCCTGTGAAGAAGCTGAACTTGCTGCAGGTGTGAACAGGAAGGTGGCTTGAAATCAGAGCTCTATTTTTCCTGTTAAACCAGATTATTTCATCCCAGATGAGTAAGGTGGTTGTTTTAGTTGCATCTAATGCTTTGATTGCTTTGGACAAGAGTATGTTTGTTTTAATGTTCCTCAGAAATCCATAGCGTGCACATTCAATACCATACTAAGACTTGAGGGAGTGTGATTCCTTGCCCCTTTCCAAGCGTGCTGTGAGATTTTCCTGATAAAGTCTTCATTGTCTTGGGCTCTGCCAGTCTCTCTAAGCAGGTGCCAGGGCAAAGGTAGCATTTCATAAGAGTATCTGGTATGGTTGTAAATTAAGACTTTATGCCACTTAATTGTGGTGTCAGAGAGGGGAGAGAAAAGGAGGTAGGGAAACATGTCTCATCACCGACAGGCAGAATTGAAATAGGGAACTATATGGTAGATCCTGGGCTTTTAGGAGTCTGTCAGTTTGCTGTATTCTTAGACAGTCAGCAAGTTCTAAATTTTTCTTCTAAAAATCAAAAAGCTGCTGCTTTCTGGAGGTGGTGGATACCTCTGAAAACTGGAACATGCAAATTTGTAGTCTTTGCAGCTGAGTCATACCAGTAGTTTTTGTAGCCAAGTAAGAACAACTGCAGCAGTGGGAACGTGTAGTTTTCACTCTTTTCTGCCCTTCTGGCAATCCTCAACTTCAAAGACTAATTGAGATTACTTATGAAGATGTTTAAGATGATGGTTTAAGTAGCTTTGGCTATCAGACTCACAAGAAATTTTAATAGTGTTCTAATTGCTTTAGTTATGTATTCTTGATGGAGCATATGTAGTGGTGTGTGGAGACATTGTAGTAGTGTCTTAGCTGTCGGGTACAAACTATTTTTATTCTGATGTTCAGATATTGTAGCCACTATGTGTAGTATTAGCAGGTAAAAACACTTTGTCCTGAAAAGTGGTCCCTGTACCCAGTCTCCTTTAACATTAAGAGCAGACTTTTTAGATGGAAAACTGGAATACTTGCACTAATCACCATTTATACGAGCTCAAAATATGTTTTTATTTGTTAGGAGTGTTTCTTGTAGAGCAGTTTAATTTTGCTGCGTTAGAGGCAGAAGTCAGTTTTAGAGGCAACAAGGGATCTGAGCGGCACATGGCAAAATCCTTGGCTGCATGTTTGGGTTAAAGTTTATCCCTTTTAATTAACTGAAACCTGGTGAGTGGCACTGCTCATACTGTCATGGTGTGTTTCCTGAAGTTTGTTGTAGACTTTCTCTGTATTTGATTACCTGGGCCTGTTACTGCATCGTTTTCTCTTAATGTTATCAGCATTGTCCCAGGTTTCAAGCAGATTTGGCAGCCTTCCTTGAGTACCGTCTGTTCTCTGGTGTTTACCTGCCATGAGTTGAGTGGATGTTATCAGTGGCTGTGTATTTGGCTTGAGCTGAGTAGAGATTTTTGAAGTTTACTCTCTCTTTAAGTGGAATTATCACTTGTAAAGTACAGCTGGTTCTTAAACCACATACAATAGAATAAACACTAAGTAGTTACATACTGGAAAAAACGATTCAGGGACCAGAAGGTCCTTCTTTGGAACAGGCCAATGTGCAAAAGAGACTGACAGATAAAATCTGTTTGTATGGAAGACTCAGCATATCCTTTACTGTAAAGTTTACTGGGGGTTCATTGTACTGCCTGACATCTCTGCAGATAAGTGAGATATCATTTAAGGTAACACAAACGTGAGAGGAGCCACAGCCTCCTCTTACAGCATAAGGCAAACTTCAATAGCATTAAAAAAAAAACCAAACCAACCAGCCCAACCTTTTTGTTCATGTTTGTTTCATTTACCTGCTGCTTTTTGTCTGTGCAACAGACACAAGTATCTGTGTGCTTTTTCCTTTTAAAGATGTCTTTAATGAAATGTTAACATGCCACCTAAAGGAGATCAAAGTGCCTGCAAATCTTGTTATTTGCAGGGATGCTCCTATAGTTCTAGTTGTGTTTTTTCATGGTGTTTTCCATCTTTTCAGCATGAAGCTAAAATATTTTTTTCCCCATCTCTCTCTTAACAGAACTTTCTGCAGAAGCCAAAGCAGCATTACTTGAATTTGAAGAGAGGGAAAGGCAGCTTAAACAGGGACGGTATGGCTCAAGGAGAGGAGGTCGAAGAGGAGGCTCAGTTATGTGCCACGGAATGGGAGAACAAAGGAGAGACAATAATGATAGAGGAAGAATGAGGGATCACAGGCCTGCACTGCTGCCAAACCAGCCGTCGACAATGGTATCTTTTAATCCTTAGTATTCTTTGAATGTACTTTCAGGAAATTAAGGTGAAATGCATTTTAAATCATGAATCTTTACAAAGATGGAATGTATATTCCTGTCTACGCTTTTTGCTCTTTCAGGGCACTGTTAGGCAAGATGGGCTTTGCATAACGTGGTGATTGTGAAAGTATGTACTTAGTCCTGTTGGCGACCTCAACTTGAGGAACCTCAAGGCCTCCAAATGAAAAGTAGATTTTGACTCATACAATGCAATCAGGCTTATGTACTGGTTTGCATAAGGATGGAGGAAAAAGTTAATTCCTCTCAGAAGTCCTCTACATGCAACATGGAAGCATGTTCAGTCCCACTTTATTAATAGTAATTTAGTTTAAAAAATATGATTCTGTAAAATATTTTTTGGTTTTTGTCAAACTAATATTTTTGCTGATACTTCTAAAAAAAATAATCTCTTTGCTTACCTGCCATGCTACTATGAGGGCAAATAAAGATACCTAGGAAGGTAATCACTACTAGATAAATTCATATCTTGTGATTTCAGAGGAAATTTAGCTTTGTTACTCTCCCCCTCCCCGTGCTTTGTGTCACAAACTTAAAGATGTTACCTTTTCCGTCCCCCAAAAAACCCAAGAAGGTTACGATCAAGAGGTAGCCCACGCTTATTTTTAACTGTCATAAAATGTGCTGGAAGCTGAGATTGCAGAACAAAGCCTGTGTATGTCTTTGCAGGACAAGGTCATCTGTATTAAACAAAGGGGATTTTTTCCAACAGCAGTAACTCTAGGTGCTGATCACTAGCAGGAGTCGGTGGATATCTCAACGATTGAGAGCCCTGCAGTAGAATATCTCGTGCTTTTAAAACAGTGAAGGTGGAATAATTTTTTTCTGTATTACTGCAGTCTGCTAGTTATTTTGACCTTAAATGTTGTAAACATATCGTGCTCATCACAGTATCTTCTTCTTGTGCGTACTTTGTAGCTGCTTTGCTTTATGTATATGGCTGCTGAAAAAAATGATGTGTCACATCTTTGTTACTAAAAGGTTGCCTGTTTGGGACTTTTCTTGCCCTGCCATTTGGAAGTTAACTGGCCTAGGACTGATGTCTAGTATTAGTGAGTTAGGAAGCAGGAGAATGTCTCTGAAGAGAAATGTTAATATATTTTTTTTAATTATAACTAATTTTGGCCATTTGTATTTGAGAGTGTTGAGCAACAAGAGACTTTCTTCAATGTTACGAAAGTTACCTTTAAAAGGTATCTTTAAAGTAGTTTTTTCTTCCTGCAGTAAGGATAGATGGACTGCACTGATACCTTAAGAATCTAGCTTAATTTGTATTTTGCCTTTTGTTGTTACTGTTAAGTCTGTTTTCTCAGAGAGGCTCTTCTACATGTGAGACAAAATTAGTGGGTTTGTCTTGATGCTAGGATTCAGATTTCTAGTGATGATCACAAAAACCTTATTGCAGTTGAAGGCAGTTTCCAGTGACACATGCAGAACCCTACATATGAAACTAGACAGTTTAACTGTTAAAAATAAGTGAATGAATGTCTGCCTTCCCTGTGTGCTTCCTTGCTGTTTGCCGTCCTCTCCTTCACATGAATGTCTTCAATTATTACTTCGCTTTCCTGTGCTGATGTTTCTTAACAGATCCAGTTGATGATAAGGGAAAGAAGTTTTTCTGTTCATATTTGGCCTTAATTGTTCTCCAAAGGTGTCTTGGTTTTGTGCGGGTTTATGTAAGGATATTTTAACTTAGAAGCCTATTGACTTTATTCTTTTGTCTGACTTTAGACTCATTCACAGAGGTTAATTCCAACACACCAGCAACCTGTTAGGAGTCTGTTCCAGCAGCACCAACAGCAACAGCAGCAGCACCAACAGCAACAGCAGCAGCAACAGCAACAACAGCAGCAGCAACAACAGCAGCAGCAGCAGCAACAGTTACAATCTCTGCTTCCTTTACAGCATCAGCATCATTCTTCTCCTCCTCCAGGGCTACATATGCCCCCTCAGATAGAAACACCTAGAATAATGATGACTCCACCTCCAGTGACACCTCAACAACCGAAGAACATACACATAAATCCACATTTCAAGGGGACAGTAGTGACGCCTGTACAAGGTGAGCTTTCTGAACACTTTCCCAGTCATGCGAGCGTGACTCATCTTACTCTTTGCCAGAGATGCAACAATTTGTTTATCACTTCATGGAAATGTGCTTCAGGCTGATATTTTTTTCCTTAAACTTGAAACAAGTGTTTTGCCTAAAGTAAGACATAATGTTGTTGGACTGTGGCCAGCTGAAATAGCAAAGCCCTTTGATCTTCTTTATCATCTTTGTTACTCTACTGTAAAGCCCGCAAAGAGTGGTAGAAACAGAAACTGAAAAGAGAATGTGGTTTTTAAAAGTAGCAAATGTCAGTTTTCAAAACTAGATAATGCAGTTTGTAGTTTCCCACATCATTCCAGCTTCAGCCAAGCATTCACAGCATGACCACCCACCTATTTCAGTAAGAGTACACTGAGGCACTCCTTGCGCTGTAATTGCTCTGCGAAAGGTACCAGCTGCTCTCCTTACTGGGCAGGATACGTGCCTTCAGTTCTTTCAGTGCCATGTTCATGATTGTTTGATTCGCAGCCTCCAAGTACGCTTTTCCCATGACTTAACACAAGTGTTCTTTGGGCTATGCTTTTTAGGGCAGCTCTCAGCAGAGCTGTTAACATTACTACTTATTTGGGAAGTGTTTAATCCCTAAGAGGATAAAAAAAAGACACCTATAGAGCTCTGCTTTGTGATTCTGTTGGGACTAGAAGTAGTAAAGAAATGCATATATATTTACACATATTTACCTTTAGATTTTCTGTATTTCTCCCCCTTCAAATCAGCAGAACTCCAAGCCAGTGCTATCTTTGCTTCATTTATTTGACCAATGAAAGGTAGGAATTTGGCAGGGCAGATTTTATTGTTATTATTTTAATTGCCAGTTGATAGCGATCTATTAGGCTTCTCACAAATGGCTTCATAGTTGCTGTGTTGTAGAGATTATTCTACTCTTTCCTGTCAAATAAAATCAATGCTTCCAACCAAATTATGCATCAGGACAGATGATGTGGAAGCAGTCCAAAAGGTCCTTTAGTCTTGGATTTGTGCCTTCTGTGCATTATCCTAATGTTTCCAAAACCACAGTTCTTGTTTTGTGAAAAGCAAAAATCATTTTTGGACTGTTTTAGAGGCCTCTCCTCTCTCCCCATGAAACAGTCAGTAAATCTTCTGCATCTAGGTGAACAAGTTTCCTCCTAGTGACAGCAATGGCTACTGAGGATTTTTGCTTTTGCCTAATGTCAGAACTGTATTGGTGTATCTTCTTTCTTTGTCTGGAGGTTTTTTTTATGTTATCGGTTGGCTTCAGGCTTGTCTCAGTCTTACCACTGCATCTGTGGCACCGTGGATATTCAAGGGCTTTGCTTTGCCTTGAGCACAGTCTTTTTTTTCTGTCTTTGTTAAAATGAGAATCTGCAAGTAAAGTTGCGTTAAGTAAAGATCTCCTCCTGCATGTTAGGAGATCTTCAGTGTTGGATTTATAGTTGTTTGGTGTGTTGGTTTCTTTTAATCTTATACCTGCTGACTTTGTGCGCACCTTTGTTTCTTGACTGATGCAAGTGTAGTCGTCCTCTCAGAAGAAGCAGCCCTGGAGAAGAGTGATCTCTTTCATGAGATCTCATGAGTGATAAGACCTGTATTTCAGTGAGGAAGATCCTTGCTGTGTGTATTGACGGTGGCTGTCTCGTATGAAATATCTTTGTGCCATCCATTTTAATGAAGGAATCCCCAGCAAGACTACTGAATATTTCTGCTAATAGGTGTGCAGCATACTGTTAAATGCAATCTTGTAAATCACTGTGGAATTTTAATCCTCTTGATTAAGAGAACATGTATGGGGAGCTGAGTCTTCTGTAGAGGCTGAGAGTAGTGGCCATCTCAGTCTTTTAGGCTGCAGCAGTACAGTTGTGTTACATGAAAGTATACATTTGCACACCTAAGGAAAATGTGTAGGAAATCAATAGTTTTCTTCAGGGAAGATGAGCATAATTCTAAAATCTTCAATGGCATTTGCATATCACGATGAATTTTTAAGCAGTCACTGCAGGCAAACAATAGACAGAAATTCCAGTGTTGGGAGAGCTGTCCTAAACTTCCTCTTAAAAAGCCCTTATCAGTTTAATACTTGAGGCCCCAATAGGAAGAGACTCATAATTGACAACACGAGCACGTGTTTCACATGCAGCATCATTTATTTCAGAGTAACAGGAAGTGTGAAAGATCAGACTGACTTCATGTTCTTGATGATGTCCTGACCCTTCTTGGCTGAATATATTTCCAGATACATGAGGGTATGTCAGAGCATACAGTCAGATAGGTGCAAAGTTTATTAGGATTCTGTTGTTGAAAGCGTGATGCCTGGAAGCTAAAAATGCCACGTCTGGAAGTGCATGATACACACACTTAGGTTCTGGCAATTTTTATGGTGTGCTAGCATGTTTTCATGTAGACTGGCATTTTTTCCCCTCTCTAATTTTGTGGCAGGATTAAACTCACATA